ACGGCGCCGGCGGGAGCGCGGCGAGCGCCGCCGCCGCGCCGCCCGGCAGCAGCGACGAGCAGGCGGCTGGTGCCGGCGCCGCTGCCGCCGCTGCCGGTGCCGCCGCTGCCGCCGCTGCTGCCGGGCCCGACACGCAGCTCATCTTCCGGCTCGAGCGGCGAGGCGACGGCTGGGCCGAGGAGATCCTGCCGCACCTGGTGGTGGAGCAGCGGCCGCTGGCCACCAAGAAGAAGCGGGCCTACTCGCGGCCAGACCCCTGGAAGGTGGGCCCTTGCTGCCGCCGCCGCCGCTCGCGGTGGTGGTGGGGCGGGCTGGGCTGGGCGGGCACGCCCAGCTGGCACGCCCTGCTGGCACGCCCTGCTGGCAAGCTGGCAGGCGAGGCTTGTCCTGGTGTGGATGCACTCTGGGCCGGGAGGAGGGGGCCAGGCAGCGGGCCGGCCGGCTGGCTGCCGCGCGCTGCCGCACGCTGCGGGCCGGCGCCGGCTGGCGGGGCGGCGCGCAGGCGTGCCTCAGCCTCGCCCGCCGCCGCGTGCTGCGTGCTGTGCGCTGTGCGCAGGAGGGCAGCCTGGAGTGCTTCTTAGTTGAGCTGGGCCTGCCGCCAGACGACGTGGACCGGGTGGTCACGCAGGTGGGAGAGCCTGGCTGGCTGGCTGGCTGGCTGGCTGTGGCGGGTTAGGGCAGCAAGGACAGCAGGCAGGCGCCACCCACGCATGCATTCACGCTGCCGCAGCCCCCTGCCTCGCCCCTGCCCCCACGCTGTGCCTCGCCCCCTGTCTCACCCCCTGCGCTGTGCCATGCTGTGCCGTGCCGCGCAGGCGGTGGCGTGGCGCGTCACGCCCGGCGGCCGCACGCTGATCGACCGGCGGCGACGGTCGCGCGTCGAGCGCAACGTGCGGCTGGTGGTGGAGCACCTAGAGCTGGAGTGCGGGGTGCCCTTTGGTGAGGCGGTACGGGCCGGCGGTACGCTCCGACGGTACACTGTCGGTGGTACACCACTGGCGGTATATTGTCGGCGGTACACGAGCCGCGAGCCGCCGCCACACCCACAGCACCCACCACCGCCGCCAGCTGTTCTTCTCTTCTCGATACCTGTTAACCCCTCCCCTCCCCTGCCCTGGCGCCTGGCGCCTGGCGCCGTGCAGGGCCGCGCGGCATCGCCGCCATCCTGGCGCGGTGCCCAGAGGTGATGCTGTGCAAGCCCACCACCAACGACCGGTGGGACCGACGCGCGGTGGAGCTCTCCGCCTTCTTGCTGCGCCAGGGGCACTGCAACGTGCCAGAGGTGTGGAGGCAGTACGGGGCAGTACAGGGGGCGGGGGGGTGGCGGGGCGGGCAGTACAGTTGCGGGGTGGGACGCTGCAGGGCGGGGCGAGAATGGTGGGGAGCAGTACGGGGCAGGGCAGGTGGACAGAGGCGCGGGCAGGCGAGGGCGCAGCGCGGGCGCGCCGCGGCAGCTGGCGCGTCTGGGCCCTCCTGCCCGCCTGCCTTGGCCGCCTGCCTGCCCGCCTGCCTGCCTTGACATCCTGCCTGCCTGCCATACCATCCGCCCTGCCTGCCTGCCTGCCTGCAGGACTGGGAGGAAAACCCGGAGCTTGGTCTGTGGGTGAAGCGGCAGCGCATCGCACGCGCTGCAGGCCAGCTGAGGTGCGCTGTGCCCCAGCCACTCTCTGGAGAGGCTCCGGAGGGAATGGGAGGCCGCACGCGCCGGCAGCTGCCGCCCGCGGTCGCTGCGCTGCTGCGCTGCCCGTTGCCGGCCCTGGCCGCGGCGGCGGCGGCACCCGCTGCGGCCTCGGCCGCTCGGCTGCTGCGCGCCTCCGCTGCCGCGCCGCGCTGCTGCTGGCCTGCCGAACCTGACCCGCCGCCGGCTGCCTCTCGCTCCACCTTCTGCTCCACCTTTCGCTCCACGTTCTGCTCCACCCCGCGCCCGCCCCGTAGCGAGGAGCGGCTGAGCATCCTTCAGTCCATGGGCTTTGCCTTTGGCGAGGTGGCGCAGCTGACCGAGGAGTGGGAGCACCGCTTTGACCAGGTGGGTGCTGGGCGGGTGGGTTTGACCGAGGTGGGTGCTGGGCGGGTGGGTTTGACCGAGGTGGGTGCTGGCTGGGCGGGTGCCGGCGTTGACCGAGCAGGTGGCTGCTGGCAGTTGACCAAGGGCGGTTGGGTGCCAGGCTTTGGGTGTGAGGAGTGTGGGTGCTGAGCATTGGGTGGAATGGGTGCCAATCATTCACCGGAATAGGCGCTGCGCATTTCCCCAAGTGGCCCCTCGCCTTCTGGATCCCTTCACAAACTGGGGTCCGCTTTGGCGGCCCCTCGCCCATGTGACCAGGCGGGCCCAGGTGGCCCCTGCCCCAGTTTGACCTCAAACCACGATCCGCTGACGTGGCGCCCCTCCCTCCCCGCCGCCCCTCCCCGCCTGCTGCGCAGCTGGTGGACTGGATGCTGTGGCACAAC